GTCTGGCATCACCATGCAGGCCAGGACAGGTTTTCATGACTGGAGGCTCAGACTGAGTGTGCAAACAGAATAGAGCCATTAAATTGGATTGAGCATTGTTTGACATATACTAATTCAGTCCTCTGCCAGGACTTGACTGACATTTATGAACATCCCTCTGAGGTATTTTATCACTCTAGGAAGTGATGTAAAAAATTCTGCAGCTCTCCCCAGAAAGAGTTTAGGCCTCTACAGGACTGCTGCAGGGCAAGACATGTGAGACTCCTTTGTATGTCTTAATTCCTACCGAATCATGAGAAAGAAATCCATTATTTTGTCCAGCTAAGCTGTCACAGACCTGTTGAATTGGACTACATCACACTAACAATGTGGTCAGGGTTTTTTGAAGTAAAACAGAAGATTTGTTCAGGCTCCAGGAAACGGCTTTGATACAACTGAACCACTGTACTGAACTAAATATGAAATATACTTTCCCAAGTCAGCCATTCTTTTGGACATTGACATCATATCTATGATTAATCCATGGCCTTTATATGGCTGAAGTTAATAACTTCTATGAAATTCCAAAGGTTGTGATTTCCTGGACCCCTTACTGAGGCTGTCTCAGTGTTTACAAACACATTTGGTTTTTGTGCTTGAAAAGACCGAAGGCAATGGTAATGCCTTTGATTTGGTCCTCCCTAGAGACAGTACCATATCTGATTTAGCGTGCTGAGGATATGTTAGAGGGTTCCAGTCCCTGTTTAGAGACAGACATCCTGTCTGTTCAGCCCTCTGCCTGCCAAACTCATTAAGAAACTCCTTTCTAATATTAGGACCTCATCAACTCAAAATGATGATTACTTCTTTCTCCTCTGGAACTGAGCCCTCTGTTATTTGATCTTAGCACAACATTCAGTACCATATATTGTATGCTTTTGAACTGCACAGCTTTTAAAAGTGCATGTTGATGTCTGCTTCTGTCTTCATTATGTCTGTAGAAATGGGGGCAATGGTGGCCTGAAGATTAGAGAAGCGGGAAGCCCAGAAGGACCCTTGGACCAGCAGGATAAATCTTACCGTACACACAGTCACTTGAATGCTGAATGAAACTCTCCAAACACTTTGGCGTTCTGATGTGGTCAGACGACACATTGTACTTTTTTTTTTAGCATAACCTGGCCATTGGAGTGTGCATACAATATCTGTAATCAAACATGGGATACTTTTGCACTTCTCGGAATCTAAACAGATCAAAGTTCTCATTCCCCACAGCTCTACAGAGTGTTTCAGCTTCATTCAGCTTATTGTTTTGTGTTTTACAGCCAGCAACTTTAATGTTTTGGTGCACTCTCACCGCTCTCATCAGCAGTGTCATTTCCAGTAGGCAGTAGGCAGCTGTTTTAAGGAAAATGGTGCTATAAACTCACTGCACACTACCTGCCGAGCACTAAACAGCAGACAAAGTTAGCGACTGGCGCATTACTTTCAAGATTGCCCAGCTGCATCCATCAAAAATCTTAGTATTTAATCACACATTTGACCATCAAACTCGCATACATCTTTTGGGGTTTTGTGGGTAGTTGAGGAGACGTGTTTTTCTATTTCTGGTAAGTCTTTGTAGAGTCGTTTGTGATAAAGGGTTACATAAAGGAATAAGTGTGACCATTGATGGAGCTGAACTGCAAACTCAGTAGCATAAAATCTAGACAGACACCCTTTGTTTTTGCACACCATTTACAGCTTACTGCTGGATAATTGGAATGCAGATCAACATAATCAGTTAATTGTTGTTAACTGATTCATCTATTTAAAAGGGTTGCCTATTTTTTCGTGACCGTCTTGCATTTTTCACAGCCTTGTGTTTTTCTTTACATGAATTGTCTGTACGCCACAGAAAATGTTATTAGCAATTAAATCAGCGCAACACTGAGTGATGCCTCCATGTAAAATCTGATTACCATTGTTCTGAATGACTTTGGTTTAAACCCAAATCAATTTTTATTGTGCTGTTTCTCAGACAACACAAGAAGGCAAAGTGTTTGTGTCCATGCTTTGCCAAATATCAACAGATTGAAAACATGACAAAAAGAACGAGCACTGGAATGTAAGTTTGTTTTTTACCACAAGTGATTACATGGTCCTTGATTGAACCTTAAAATAGGTAATGTGTGTGGGAAGCTTTTCAGCACAACACTTCCCGGGAACACTGGACTGTATTCTTGTCAACAAGTAGCAGCATGAGTAATCAATTAAAGTGAAGTGCTTCCTGCAATCTGAGGGAGAGTCTAAAATAGACTTTGTCAATACAGATGTTAGCTTTACTATTCATTCAAGGCTTTTAATGCAAGCTTTTAAAATAAATGCTTCAGGTTGAGATGGTAAAACATATCTTACCATCTAAACATATCTTTCCGCCATACATTAGTTTTCTCTTTCTAAAAGACCACTGGCTCAGTCGTCAACTCACCATCTAGGCCTACTGGTAGTGAAAGTCCTCTTAAGGAATACTAAAAATAACCTTGCTTTTATAGGGGGTGGATGCAAAAACAGGAACTCTAAGGGCCTGATTTACTAAAGTTTTGCGTGAGTAAATACTGTGCCTGTACCTGCAAATTAGCACGTAAGCTGATCTACTAATGGTGTGCACACAGAATGACGTCTTTCAAAAGCGCAAGGTAGCGCCTGTTATTCATTTAGTACTTTTGCCTTAATGAATATGCAATTTGGGGCGTAACATGCAAATACATTTATTTACTACACGCAATGTGATCTGCCAAGCCTAAACACAATTTCACGTGAGTGCAACAGCATCTGGAACACCAACTGTTCACAGCGCGCCGGTCGTAATAGCAACACAGCCCAGTATCAGAGAGGGAATGGGGCGTTGTCTATGAAGATTCTCAGTCATCCAGGTCATAGTTATCCAACAAAGGTTAAAATCAAGGGCAACTGGACTTGGTTGAAGATACTGGAAGACGTTTCGTCCCTCATCCAAAGGACTTCTTCAGTTCTGACTGACTAGCAGGGAAACTCAGCTATTTAACCTCAGTGGGGTCGTTATCCCGGGTCATCGATACCGCTGGTTCGTTAGTGTTCCTTGTTGCTGTGACGACAGTCATTACAGTCGTTAAGACTACCTGTGGCCAAGACTGAACGACCATCGTTGGTATCTTCACCTGAGGCCAATAGGTTACGTTTGTTGAGTTTCCTGGGAAGTGATGAAAGGACAGCATTGTAAGTGGGGGATAAGTGGTGGCGTAGACCCCCTCCCCTGTTCAATGACGGCTTCTCAACCCTGGTGTAGATGGCTTCCTTGACACCTCTTTCAAACCATCCATCTTCTCTGTCTAAAATGTGCACCTGGTGGTCCTCAAACGAGTGTCCTCTGTCCTTCAGATGTAAGTAGACTGCAGAGTCTTGACCTGAGGAGTTGGCCCTTCTGTGTTGAGCCATGCGTTTGTGTATTCCTCACTGCATTGGACCGCATACACTAGATTGCTTTTCTTGTGTTTGGGTGTGCGGTCTTTGGGGTGTACCAGCATCTGTCTTAGTGTGTTCTTGGGTTTAAAAAAAAATGGGGCGTTGTGGCGTTGTGGGCCAGGGACAGGAGATCGCGGAGCGACCGGGCAGGTGATTGTTCCCTCTGGCTAGATGAAGCACAATCTGCTGGCATTTTCTCACGTCTGGGTTATTCCAGCATACTGTACCTGTTTCTGCTGGGGTTTGCCAAAGTAGTTTTTCAGGTGTGCTGTCCCAAGTACTTAGTGCAATCTCAAGCAGGATAGGCAGGTACATACAATTTCCACATACTAGGGACACAATGAACGAAACAAACCAAGGTTTTTCCGCAGTAGCTGCTTTGCCTCCCGACTCTCCGTGGCGGAAACCATTAAAAAACACGCAAAACCCTCATTTAAATAGTCCCACCTCCATTGTGTTTGCTCCTGTTGTCATCTATGCAACAATTCTTAGTAAATCGCCCATAACAGGTACTAAAATTGCACTTGCAATATTTTAGTAGCCTAATCTTTATTCGGGATGCTAGTAAATCACGTCCTAACAGTATCATGCAATCTGCACTAAATATTGCATTAATGAATCTCAGTCAAACTTGTGTTAAAGTAGTTTCCAATGGCAGGGTGTGTTGCACTAGATTGCCCCTGTCTCATTTTGCCCTGCAAAGTCCAGCATCGCCTTTTCAGGTTGTGCCCAGCTGAATTATTGCACTATTGAACTGAAGCGCCACACCCTTCCTGGGCAGACTACTCCAATATACGCATCAGAGGTGGCCTTCTTATCTTTTTGAATGACCCACGTGTCTCCTTGTGAAGTCATTTGTCTGGCTCTCACTTGTGAGCGGAGTGCCTTTGGTGATTGTACAAGCATGAGATGTGTATAAGTGATCCACTGGAAATGGCTATATTTTGTATATAGTATTTGAATCTGTTTATGTGACTGCACTGTTGCACACATTTGAAGCACATTTCTCTAATTTGCTTACTTTTTACATATCAGTTTAAAAACTGAACTGACTACAAACAAACATCTTTGCATCTTTGTCTGTCACACGGGGCCACTTGTAATGAGAGCGCGAACACGTCTCCACCAAGCTGATTATTGCACAAGCCTATAATCTGTGAACATCTGCAGCTCCACTAGTCTGTCGCCACTGGTCTCCACAGTGTGAGAAATCTGCCAATAGCAGATTTGTCTGCTCTCGCTTTAGAGAATTACCTCCATTTGGCCTAAACCACGGTCTTGCTCAATCTCGGTACACAGACACGGCCAAATAGAAAGCCATGTTGATCAGGTTTAATTCAGAATAATCTCTGACACAGGTAAGAATGTCCCATAATACTTGGCATACAAGTCAATGTCACTGTCAGCAGCATGTGAATGGCAAGCCCAGTGAATCATTGTCAAATATCCACGCAGGATGGAAGGATGCAATAGCCTATGAAAGTGCTGATGGCAGAATTATCCAGTGGCATACAATAACTAAATACATTTACAAGTAACATATTTAAGCACATGTGCACATTAAATGTACTACAGTACATTTATCTGATGGCTACACAAGTTACTCTGCAACTCAACAGTATATAAAGAAATTATAATAGCTGCATCTTGACATGCTACAAGAATAAAATGTATATGTATTAACAATCAAATCATATATTTTTGCAGTTAATACATTTATTAACACTGGAATTTTACTTGTAATGGAGTATTTTCCGTTGTGATAGTTACTTTTATTTATCTAAAGGATCTGAATACTTCTTTCAAAACCACCTAAACATATTACAAAATCTAAGTGACAGAGACTACACGTAAACCTGACATCTCTAATAATAATAATAATAATAATAACTTTGATTTATATAGCGCCTTTCACAAACCCAAGGACGCTTAACAAACAAAAAGGGGGGGGCGGGGTAAGAGGTGAGAGGTGTGAGGCCAGGGGAGATTAAAGCCCATAGGCCTCAGTGAAGATTTATGTTTTAAGCTGGGTTTTAAAGGTTATTTAGAGGAGGCAGAGCGGATGGCAAGAGGAAGCTTGTTCCAGAGTAATGTAAACAATGTAAAGGTGCTGCGTTTCTGTATTTTCCTACAGGTTTTGGTTCAACAGTAGCTCATTGTTGGGTTGATTCTACATCCTGAGTTGACGAAACGATCAGCTGTAAGCGACGTGTTCCTGTACCTGTTAAGACTGAGCCATGCTGGCAGACCAAGTGAGGCAAATCCAGTCTATCCCAGTTATACAGTGGAGCACTTTATTCCACTTACTGAAGTAAGTATATTACCCACTAATCAGTGCCTGGCTGTACTTGTTAGTGCATGGCCTTCCCTCATATTCATGCCAAGGTAAGTGCTTCTGGCAAATTAGCTCTAATTTCCCCATCACAGTGAATTCTGGTATTCATATGCAAAGTAGTGTTTACTTATAAAAATGCTTCCTGGTTTCTGTCTTCAGTATTCAGCACACATTAGAGCACACATTACCATACCTGCTGCTGTGAAACAAACATGTATGAATCAGTTTAAGGTACCCTGTGGACTTGACATTTACTCTTTCTCACTGAAACAGTGTTTGCGTCCTTAAATCAGCAGTAAATGATTTTTTGGGGTCACTTTGGGGCAGCGGAAACAAATTGTGAACAAAACATTAACATATCATCATAAGGTAAACTTGTTGGCAAAGTTGCCATGCATGATGTTTTCATTTTATAAAATTTTATGTTGCGTCTTATGTCTGAAACCTTATTACCTTATGTTATTTGTGCTGCTGCCTGTCTTGACCAGGGCACTCTTGAAAGTGATTTTAAATTCAAAATTTGACTTTTACTCCTGGTTAAATAAAGGTTCAATGAAAGAAAATAGAAAACAACTGTGGAGCTACAGTCAGCAGGCAGACGGTTAGCTTAGCTTAGCAGAGAGACTAGAAAACAGCTACCCTGGTCACATGTTTTACCTCATTTGTTTAATTTGTACAAAAATTTAAATGTAAAAAAGACAAGTTGTGGTGATAAGTCATATGCAAGAAACAAAATATAAAGTGTTACTTAATGAGCTTTAGAGGTGCTGGTAAGAATACATTTTAACCTTGACATATCTACTTTCCTACTGTTTCCAGTCTTTATGCTAAATTTATGCTGATTATCTGCTGGCTATAGCTTCATATTTAGTGTAAACAGTGTAAACAGGAGAGTGGTATTGATTTTCTCATCTAACTCTTGTCAATGTTGAGGAAATGTCTTACAGGTGAGGTACGGCTCATGTGCAGACTAGGCACGGGGTCATTCCTGACTTTCCAACCGTAGCCTCTGTCTCACTCCTTGTCATTGTGACGACAATTGGCTGATAGGGAGACACTATAGTTCCAGCATCAGACTAGCAGATATCAGTGTTCCCTGGGAATCTTACAGGTTTACAGAACTCACTGTCCCCACAGATTAGAGGGCCAAAATTATGACACCATTAGATTTAAACCTGACCTAGGGAACAGATTTAGGCCAGTTAAAGATGACCTTGTAGGGAGAAACACATAGACAGTCTAGGATAACACAGAGATAAATATTGTGTACCAGGAGGTTTCATCAGATTGGTTTAGGTGTTACATTGTATCTGTACACTGTATGCTGTTATCAGCCTCCCTAGCTGGGCTCAATAAACAGTACTGTGTAAGTCATCACGAGTTTCCGAGAACTTCTTCACCACACCTGACACTTGGCTCGCTTTATTTCCATAACGGGCAATAAAGCCTACAAGCTTATATCCCAAAATGAACTGTTCCTTTAACTTTGTCCATAGTGTGAGAGCCTCAGTGATATTTATGTTTTTAATTCACGCTGCACCTATTGCTATTGTTTCCTCTACATGGCAGGCAGCTCTGACAGTGTGACCTTGTCACTTAATGGCCATGAGATGGCACAAAAGATGACAAACATCCTCTGCAGTGAGCAGAAATTTATGCTGTTGCAACACATTCAAACAAGGAGACTCACTCACCAAAACATTGCTCTACAGTGCCACAAGAGGTTAAAATACTCCATAGGGTACCTTTAACATGAAATACATTTTATTCTCTACGTTTCTTATTATTGTAGAAAATAAAACAACTGTCTGTTTGGACTATAAAAGTATCATTAGCCATAAACAAATACGGCAGCTACCATCCTTTTACACTTAGTTTAGCAAAAATCTTTTAAATGAGATATTCCTTGTCCAGCAGACCCTTCTACTAATTTATGGCATCAGTTGTGTTCTCATTTTTCTACTTGCAGTCATCCAGGGGAATTCAACAAAGTTTACAATAAAACTTGAGTTAATGTGGATCATATTACCATCCAGTAACCTCTAAGCAACCCCTGAAAATGTTCATGAATGCTTTTGGAAATCATTCCAATTCTCTAGTTATCTGGGACAACCTCAATCCTGCACTTATGTTAATCCATCCGTCGCAGTGCCATGCAGTTGGTGCCTGTGAAACAGGACTGAACCAAAGCAGATTTTGAGTGATCTACAAACCCGGATGGCATACACAGAGTCTGAGCCATGCAGGGTCTCTTACGCAAGTTCAGCCAGCTGTGGCTGTTTGAGCTGTGCGTGCAGGGAATGTGTTTACATAACTCTCATTTGGGCTTTTTTCACTTCACACAGCAGGTCCTACAGAAAGTTAAAAGCATGAGGTTAAGATTATTTTCGTTTAGGTACTTTTTTTTTAAGCTAGGGCAGGCAATTTATTTCAGAAGCATTTTTGTTGTATTTGTTGAACTTCTCGTTACATCCCTACGGCAATCATTAAATCAAATGCTCTGACACAAAAATTAACAATATGTGGTATCTGTGGCTGTCGCACCGCCAATCAAAGCTGGGCTACCTGCCTGCCTACTTGTGCGTACTCTCTCCATGCACTCATTGTACATGAAAATGTGTTAGTGTCTCTTTGGAGGGATGCCTTAAGAGAGGGGTTGACAACTATTTGAATAACTTTTACTTAAATAATTTGAATTAAAAATCTCTGTACAATACAGTCCTTCCATAACATTGTCGTTTAACACGGGAGAAAGCTGTTTGTTGCCCTTTTTACAACTGACAGTCAGCAATATTTTTCTTAAAACCATGACCATGATTGTTCCCTATCCTTAACCAAATGTTTATTATCATAACCATGAATATGAAGCTCATGTGACCCCTAAGTAATATTATTAAGTTTAAACCCATATAGCACAAATATAATTGATGATCAATCAAATAACTGTACCTACTGTAGGTTTAAGAAAGGGCCCATTTTCCAGCAGTGAAATTACTCTTTAATGTGTGAGCAGCATTTTACTGTTGTAACTGGTTGTTGTGGAGCTAATTACAATAGTTTTACACTGTAAGGCAGTTTAAACTATAACAATGCATCATATTTTACAAGTTGAGTTTTGTATGTAAAATCTTAAAATTGACCAGTAAGATGTCAGATAAATGTAGCGCAGTAAAAAGTAGTTGTGTTAATGCACTTTGTTACATTATGCAGCCAGTTCTGTCAATGTTGATGTAAAGTCTAAGCAACAGTAAAATGGCATGCTTAGGAGAATCATCATAGAGGTCAGATGGGAGGTTCTGGCATAAGTAGACAGCACAAGTCTACCAAGGCTTAACTGTTCCAGCGTGGTAGATAATTCCCAGTATGTCCTACTATTAGTCTCTAAGTGTTTCAGGTACTGCTTTCATTTGAGACAACCTTAATGCATCTCTCCCAGCATGTGCAAATGCCTCCATAATGGTGGCTCAAAGTCCAGTCCCGTTTTCCTGAGGTAGAGAATCAGCGCCTGATCTATGTTAAGCCCTAGAGCTTAAATCCCTCTCAGACGCTCATTAATGCGCTTGGTGTGAGACCACACTGGGGTTGTCACTCTCCTGAGCCCAGATCCCGGACCTGTGTCTGACAGAGGGATCTTCTCCTCCCCCATCCTCCTCCTCTTTATCCTCTTTCATTTCTTCTTTAACTGCTGCCTCTCAGCCTCTGCCAAATTTTGATCTTTCACACTCCTCAGCCCCACCACAGGATCCTCTAAATATGACAGCAAAAGGGCAAGAATCAAGAAGAGAAGGAGAACCATTCAGCTGTGTGGAGTGGCCTTATTTACTCACGCAGAAAAGCAGGTGCATGTTTCTCCCACATCAGATCCTCCATCACTCATTTTGTCCTGATTGTCCTCTTTCTAGCTTACAGTTTTGGATACACGGTGAGAAACGCTGATCCTTTAGTGCAAATATGTGAATACATTATCTTATTAGAAAATGCTACAGTTTGGTCAGAGTTATGCTTGGCCTGACTGGTCAGTTGAGCTAGGAATAAGACCGGGCAGCAGACTGTGAAATTTGTGTTTAGCTATACATAGCATCCATTAGCCATACCTGCTTATCCTTGAGGGTTGCAGGGGGGAGGATGCAGCCAATCCCAGCTGACATCGTCCGAGAGGCGCGGTTTCCAGTCAGTCTCAATCACAGGCACTTTATTGTGCAAGAGGCAAAGTTCATGTCTTACAATGAATGACTAACAGAAATAAGGCAGCAAGTGATGACTGACAGAGTCAAAGCACAACGGGAAGTGTTAACTATCATTTGAGAGCCATTTGTCGGCCAAGTATTTCTACGTTACTGATTACTTCTTAAGTTTGATCAAGAATTCCAGGGTAGGATATCAGTTATCTACATTTCTTTAACAATTAACACTTGATATGATGCAAAATGACAAGGTAATACAAAATGTAAACCACACTTTGTTTTGAAGTTTTTAGGCCTTGACTTAAGATTTCATTAAACTTTTCTTTTTGCAAAATGAACCAAAACACTGACAAAGACTATCTTGGGTAAAAAAAATCTAAAGTGAAGTGAACTAAACGAAGTAAGCTTGAGACACAAGTACATTCACAGATTATATAAACCTACAGACAATATGCAATCACTTTGAGAAAGGAAAATTTGATGACCCAGCATCATTCTGAATCTGAGCTCACAGTATACATGGCTTGTTAGTGCACCTACCATTTAGCAGCCTTACACAAAACCACAATATCATCCAGTCATACATCATCCTCTCATTTCACTGTAACTATACAGGCCTTGAAGGTTTTAATCAGCGTGCTCTTTCTGTTCTGCCACACAAGGAGTCTGCTCATTTGTACTCTCAAGAAGGTTTTCAAGTCCCACAATTTATTTCAAACTGAGCATTTCAACACAGCCGCATGAGATTATGTTGTATGTTATAATTGAGTGTTTATTTACTTTGCTGCTGCAACACGAGCATTTCCATGAACTCTAAAACAAACAAAAAAAAAGTCATATTGTTTTATTGGTATACCAGGCTTGTTCCCATTCTCCATTGTGTACTTTAGCATTCACTCACCCACACTCAACCAGCTGCTGCTTACCCACGCACACAAACACACACTTTCCCTTGTGTCTACATTGCATAATTCATATAACTTTATCAACACGGTACAATATGTTACAACAGTGAATGTCACATGATCGACTGGTTGGCTACAGGACATACAAGAGAGTGTGAACTGTTGCATAATACTCTAGGATGTTTTCATTACTGGTCCATTTCTACAGGAAAAGGATCAGCAGAAAATGTTTCATTAGATCTACAGGAATAAACTTCTGACAGTCTTAATGAGCAAAACCCATAAAGTGGAAATCGTGTCTGGACAATATTTGCACACAAATTGTCTTGCAGAGAAGAAAAAGTAACAATACAGAGCGTGAAAAAACAGAAACCACGAGGAATGTTACTTTTTCTAACACGGAAGAAGTAGCTTTAAATATTTCTGACATGAGAATGAACCTTCTGCTGAACAATAAGCTCGCTTCTCCCTGTGCGTGATGGGGCAGTGGCTGAGGACTAAAGCTCAGCCAGAAGCCATTTGTTGCAACATGAGATATGAGAGCTGGGCTGGAGTTTTGGCTTCTCCCCAAGTCACAGAATGTACTTGAACAAATTCCAGCAGCAAAAGTTAATACAGGCCAGAGTGGATTTATCTATCTGTGTCTCAGATTGCACGTGTCTACAGGAACAAGCAATCTTCCCTCTCTTCCCCACATTCTCTTCTTGTCGTCTTAAGTCCACAAATGATAAGGAAGATGTTTAAAGAGATCTTACCAGAGCTCCATACTGTCAACACGTTGCATGTTCATTTGTTTGAGATTAAAGTAGCTTTATTGTTATGCTAGCCGCGTCACTCTCTGCCAGTCAGGTTGGTCGAGAATGAAATACAATATCTCAACTACTATTGGTTGGATTGCAATGAAATTTTGTACAGACATTCATGGTACTCAGAGGATGAATCCCAATTACTTTGGCGATCCCCTTATTTTTCCTTCAGTGCTACCAGGCTGTCAAATTTGTTACTGATCCAGTAAAGTACCTCAGCATCTACAACATGAATTGGCCCACATTGTGAAATAGCACTTTTTTTGGTTAACTCTCCCTTCTTTCAGGTATTTACCCCATTGATGCGATATGTGCTATTAGCTCATACTAGTATGTATTGTCAGTTATAGACCTCATGCTGTATTTGATGCTTTGTTGATGCTTGTATGTTGTTTCATCTCAAATGTAAGTCACTTTGGATAAAAGCGTCTGCCAAATGAGTAAATGTAAATGATTTTCAGAGGATAAATCCTGATGACTATGGTAATCCCCTGCCTTTTCATCTGGTGCGACAAGCAGTTAAATGTTTTCACTTGTTCACAAAAATTTTAATTGTAATAATTTTGGTGATCGATTAACATTTCATCTAGCGTCGGTGCTGGGTTTTAATTTGTCCAATGGTCAAATACCTGCAAAAGTTACTACACCCGAAACAGCCTCAGCTGTATTTTATATTTAGTGCTAGTTAGCAAATGCTAGAATGCTAAAGCCACTAATATGGTGAACATAATAAACATTATAAGTGCTTAACATAAGCATGTTAGCATGATGTTAGCTCAAATCACTGCTGTGCTGCTAGCAGCTGTAGATCCTTAGTTTAGTTTCTCACAAGCTGTTTCTTTCTACAGTATACATGTGTGCGAGCATGTGTCTGTCCTCCCTTTTAACTCCACCCCATATCGAGAAGAGTACACACAATTGGCTACATCATTAGTATTGATCAGTCTATCTAAAATGGATCACAAACCAGCTAGCCTCCACTCACTGGAAGCAGCCAGATGGATAATGAAGATACTATTCTTAAGTGAAATTATAGAGTGAATGTTTACAGGGGGGTGTTCAAGAGGTGGAAAAGCTGAGTGGCGAAACCTCCACATGAAACCATGATCCACAGATGCACACTAATGGAAGGTGACAACAACGAGAATAGGGTTGGGGGATGGTTTGTATGGATAGGATTTTGTTCGTTGGAACACTTACCAAACTATGTTGACATGCATTTGAAAGTGATATGATCTGAACTGTCCTCTGAGACTGAGTTCCATTATCAGGATAAGTGTAATGTTTTACATACATCACTAAAGACAGTATGCCAGTCTATGGAGGTGAGATATTAAGAATGCTGGGGTCAACTGGTATTCTGATACACAGTACATAGATTAACATTTTGTACATTGCTGTTACAAAGATATGGGCCTACAGCTGCAACGAAACATGAGACAGAATTAGTTTTGAAGGGAGGAAATTGCTCCCTGCTGGAAAACAACTCAAAGATGAGGCAAACGGGTAATTCATGGTAATAAATTAGTTACCACAATGTTCTTTCTTTGGCAAGTTTTAGCTTCTCGCTGCTGCAACATCCCCAACCTCCTAACGGTTAACCCCATTCCCAAATCCTAAGGGGAGTTTTTCCCTCATTCATTCCTCTATTCAATATTTTTGCTTAGTTATCAGCCTGTGTGGGCTCTGAGCCATCTGTATCATTAACACTGTAATCACATATGAAAAGAAAGTTACTGAACATCAACAGCAATTATTTTCTGTGGGAAGATGAAGGACCTAATGAGCTCTGTGTATACCTCCGAGGCTCATCCGATCAGACCAAAGATATTGGAGATATTCTTGTTTCAACAGAAAGCAAGTGTATTATTGCATGAATTCTACCCATGGACAACATAAAGTCAAAATATTTTGAATTTTACTTTAAATTCTGTATAACTTTGGAGTTTAAACATGCATCTTTATCAGATTCATTCTATTACACCACAGTAGTCATCTGATCTCCACTGAATGGATGTTGCACAATAGAGGACCTATTTGAGCAGTAGCCGCCCCAGCACACAGATGGGAGGATACTGCCCCCTGTTGGTATTACACTGCACAACACTGTTAGGTACACACCTTTTTGTGGGTCTCTGAATATAAATTGCACTTGTGAAGACAAGTGGATGCAATCTTTTTGCATCTTAAATAAATTGAGTATATGCACATCTCTTTTGATATGTTATCTGCGGTTTGCAGATAATGCATCTATTGGCCCTCTGCACCTTCTAGAAATCTCGGACTGGTTCATATTTCAATGGAAGACCGCTAACATATCTTACATCTCAAGTCTGTGGTGATACCGAAGCTTGGGGACAATGGCAGTCTTTGGGTAACACTTTATTTTCCAGGTGTGGAATTTCCAACAAAGTTTCCTGAGAAGAACAGTGTATTTTGGTGCTTATCATGAGTAAAATAGGAATATGTGTGACAGAACCCAAGTAAATGATGTTTTGTAAATAACAAGCTTACTTGCTGTGCAATTACTAGAAGGCTCTATTCGTTACACCAGCAATTAATTGGAAGCGTAACAATTGTACACCATCTAATTAGTTTATTTAGTTAAGTTGAAATTTTCCATATAATTAGTACTAAATTATATCATATTCAGGAAACGTCTTAGGAAATTATGTTATTATTCAACAATTATGAACTTGTACAATAAAGTGACAAAACTTAGCACTGTCTATCTATGCAGGTCATTCCATGTATCAAAAGAGGAATAGATGAATTGATTATTTCATTTTATTTTTAGTATTACGCAACATTAGAAGTATATAAATATCTGTTTTAATGTACAACATCTATGACATCCATAGAGCTTTCCTTGGGCAAAATACAAAACTCAAAACACTTTTATTGCACATATTCTAAAAGACAAACCATCGTAAGCAAGTTCATCTAATACTAGTTTTGCACAGAGGAAGAGAAAAAAAAAGAAAACTGAAAAGACAAGCAGACAAAGAAGAACCTGACATGAAAAGACATTGATTACTGCACAAACAAATGTTCTTATTAAACATCCCGGTAGTAAGGGAGCAAAGTCTCACACTACTATAAACAACATTATTTGTGACACAGAACATAGATTTGGCAAATCAACAATATACAAAATATACATCCATGATGCTTTGTAAACAAACATTAAATGTGCTTTGAGGATTTAAATGTCAGTCACAGGAAAGAAAAAATGTGGGGAGAAAGAAACACAAGTTCAATTGTTCAAATATAATTCAGTGATTCATTTGAATCTGAAGTTGGGGCGAGAAGTCATTTTCAGTTCCAATTTTACAATTCTTCTCACCCTTTGAACTGAATATTGGCAAACATTAAGGTGCATTTGTTCTCTCAGAATACATTAGCAATACATTGACATTAATATCTAATGCAAGTAAACATCGGATTCTTTTAACATTAAAATCTCTGCAATCAATCTCACGTGTTACGGTTTCATTCAGTGATACAGTATAACTTTTAGATAAAGTATATTCTGTGCCATGTTAAATTGAGTCATTGTGACTCATCAACATAGAGTATATGCAGAAGACAAGATTATTGTTTTGACATGGCCATCACAACAGAGCAAATACTGCATTACATACTTAGTGTCCTAACCTACTTTCTGGTTGTCGTTTAGGATTTGCATTTTATCTACAGTAGAGTAACACGTGTTTGTGTGTGCGCGAGCAAATTGCAGAAGTGAAGGCGGATATATGACAGCCTGTAAGTATAGTACAAAGTATTTGCACATTAACATCAAATGTATGTTGTGGACACGAACTATGATATGCAAATAATAAGGATTCCTCATTTAAAATCTTTACCGAGGTGAAGCTTTAAGCCAGATGCTGCTCATTATGAGTCCTTTGACATGTGTACTTGTGAACGCTGTGAATGTGAACACTGTCGAGCCTTATCTTATTGACCTTATATCACTCTGCGCAGACATGAGCAGATCTGGAGATGATGGCCAAATCCATATTGGCATACATATGCAGACTTCCTGGTTCATCTCATTAATCAAAACACAAAATTTTATATTTTACACAGTCATCACTTTTCAAACTGTAGTCAGCCAGCAAATACATCATCGACAACATAGACATTCTTGGGAAACGCTGACAGCCCTCACAGTTTTGTTATATAATGCTACATTTTTAGAAATAGCCCAGTTACCCCCTTATGTCTTCCCCCACCCCTCTCGCTCTCTTGTCAAGTTGATTTCGGAACATGTGAAAACATTTGAAAAGTCACGAAGAAGAGGACGTCTTTGACGAAATACATCACAGTAGCTTACGTTGGACCAGTTATCAAGCAGAACGTGATACTCTTAACAAATGACACTGCAAAATCTATACATATAATACAAAAAACAATAATGTAAGCCCGTGTCTCCCTGTTTTACAGTATTATCATATGTACACCCTATTGCATAAAAATCAAAAATATATGTACAGATGTCAGAGGAATGTGAATAAACACCACACTTTGCTAAGAACTGCAAGTTTCATTTCCCATAATTCTAAGGCCCCTTAACTAATTTAGGATTTCTAGAATGATATACATTTTAATTTTTAAGTTTTAGGGGAAAAGCACAGGACATGCATTCCCACCACTACACAAAGCCAAAAATAAAAAGAATCTGATTATACTAAACAGAACAGTGATCCAACTGCTAAATTGCTGAGCAAAACTGTGTGGTCTACTGCATTAAAAGACTTGGACATCAGATCCTCCGAGTCTACAAGTAAGAGTGCAAGTCAAAATCATTTATGGCACTGACTCTACAGTACATCACAACCTTTGTAAGGCGTACTCCCTGCTGCCCCCTGACATACTGATTGCACAAAAGCATTCTGCGATAAACAGAAACAAAACATTCACTTGACGTAAAAAGTAAAGTACTAACTTCAGAAAATACCAGAAATAATCAGCAAATGATTGCCTACATTCAGACCTAGATACACTTATATATGTGTTGTATGTCATCCTAGTTAACACACACACACACACACACACACGCCCACACACCTACCTCTCTATCAGCAGGTTAACAGCTTGCCCGGTCCTCAAACAAACACAAAAAAAGGCATGATGATATTTGCACAAACCATTTCAAACATTTTATTACATCTGGATTCTCTGAAGCGATGACGTCGGCTGCTATTTTCCCTTCCTACTTCACTTTTTGTTAGAACTACGAGGTGACTCCTTCTGCTGCTGCTTGCACCTGCCAGTGTCTTTGTCTGAACTGTCTTTCAGTGCAGAGGGAGAAGCTCTGGAGGCGTCTCTTTTCGCGTTTTTCTGTGCAAACGTGACCTCTTGAACTGTTTCCTTTTTCTTCCTCTCAGCCTGCTCCTTCTTGCTAAAGGACACCTGTTTGTCAGGTGTGGGGATTCTGGTTTCTTGGCCCTTGTGGCTCTCTGGTTTATAAGTTTCAGACTTGGGGCCTTCCTTGGATGCTACAGTCTCCTGGGGTGCGCAGCTGGAGATCCGGCTTGAGACCGCTCCACCGCCCGGTGAATGTGTTTCTTTTTTCACTGGAGGTTTTGGCAGCACTGGTGGTGGATCAGGCTGGGAGGGAACATCTGAAGGCAGCTGATGTTGAGGTGCAGTAAGAGGTGAAGCAACGTGTTTTGGTTTTGAGTCATGCTGGTTTTTAGCGACTGGGACTTGGTTTTTGGATGGTGCGTCTTTATGCTTGGCATCAATGCTTTGTTTAATAACTGGTGTTGGAGCTACAGAGGTCTTAACAGTAGATGATGACGGGACAGTTTTAGGAGAGAGAGATTTTGGCTTTGAGTCTGCGTTTTCTTTTACTATATGAGCTGAGGTTGCTACAGAGCTTTTGGGCTGGGTTTCTCTTTGCTTCATCTCAGCAAGAGCGGGCAAATGTTTCACCAATACCTCATGTTTTACATCGACCCCAGCGGATGGCAACGAAGTTTCTTTCCATTTAGAGTCATGGGTTACTTGGATGTCTGATGGAGAGAGCACAGATTGTTTAGACAGATCTGTCTGTTTTGAATTTGGACTGCCCTTCACTACTGGGACAGGAGGAGCTGTACTGTGAGATTTCACTTCAAGTGTTTTTGTTTCCTTCTCTGTCTTCACAGCGGTGTGTGCTACAGGTTGTGGGTCAGGCCTAGACTTACTTTTGGGACTTGAAACATTTTCATTTGCTGAAGCTGAACATTTCTGTTTGGCTGAAGGGACCACAGTCTTTTCTTTCACACTGACAACAGGCTCTTCTTTTTTAGAGGTGCAATATTCTGAATCAGGTGATTTTTGTTGTGCTTTTTCAGCTTGATAGTTTTTGGATAGCTGCTCTGAATCTTTCCCACTGCCTTTATTCTTTGTCTTTGTTGACAAGGGATCCTCATTTTTCTGCAGCAATATGCTACAACTCTCTTTTGCACAGACAGACACAGTTTTATCCTTTTTACTTGTGCTCAGTGTGACTTCTGTCACATCATTTAATGAGGTGACTGTGTTTTCTGTAGAAACTTCACTCTTCTGCTCCACTTTTTTGTTTGCCTCCAGTTTAGACTTTGTGACACATGTGTTGATATCCTTCTTAGAACCCGAGCTGCCTGTATCACCAGCACCTTTCACAGCTAATCTGTCAGATTGTACACTGTCCTTAATAACAGATCTCTCTGAGCGGTCCTCCCCTTCAGATTTTAAACTGGAGGTTTTATTTTCATGAGCAGAGCCAGATGCTGATGTTGTGATAGAAACCTGCGCTTCTAGATTTGAAGAGCAGATGTTCAGCGGCTGCTGTTTTGAAAGAACATTCTCGGGAACGCGTACAGATGCAAAGTTGTTCTGTACAGTCACCTTAGAAACAGAGGTCATGTTAGAGTTCTGTGCAGTAGCTGCTTTTTTCTCGCAGCTCTGACGCAGACCTGCATCCACACCACAGTTTATACTCTGCTTCAGTGACACAGGTAATGGCTCACTGGCAGCCGTAGCCTGAGTCGCCACAGTTTTTATGTCTACCTCCTGCTTTGCTGAAGTCAAAGAGACTACTGTCTGGGAGCTGCCAGTATTTTGTGATGTAGTGTGTGGTGTAATTTCTTCCTGCTCCACTTCATCCTCCTGATCTTCATTGCTGACTTCCCGTATGGAGGGTGTTTTTCCACAGGAGGAGAAGTGGGAGCTGTGTCGAGGGGCTCTATGTTCATGAGCCAGTGGTGAACTGGACTTCATAACAGTTCTGCTCTCTTGTTTAACAACAAAGGTTGAGGCCTCCACTTTGCTGCTTTGAGCCTTTAATGACTCACTATGTCTGTCCTGTGTTTTCTCACCACTCGTACTGATTTTCAACTCTGTGGCTACATTATTTGACAGATCTTTGGAGGCAACTATGTTATTTAGAGAAGAAACAGCTTCAGGGCTTGGGGAACAAGTCAAGGGGCTCTTCAGTTTGTCTGCAGTTTTCAGCTGGGGGATGGTTATTTGTCTCTCGGTAGGGGTCTGGAGCCAAATTGGAGGGCTCATGGAAACAGTGTCGCTTGTGTTTTCTGCCATCTTGGATAAACAGGTTTCTGTTTTGGAGACTCTGGGCCCTGAGAGCAGACCAATATCCAGAGTCCCCTCCAGAGGTTTGAGAGAGGAGACATGGCGTCCTTCAAGTTTATATTCAGATGATGTCTTTCGAAGTGAAGACTCTGCAGAGGAGATGAGCTGGAGTTTTTCCACAGCGCTCTCTCCTCTGCCGCAGAAAAGCTTGGGGGCCAGACCTTCAGGGTTTGAGTGAACACCTCCCAGACCTGCCTTCATGTGGTCATGAGACATGGCTGTGTCCAGCTGGAGGCTCTTAGATCTGGCGGAGCCGAAGTGAATGTTCTCATGGATGCCGGAAGATAACCGACAAATGCAGTCGTCTCGTTCTTCAAACGACAGCCTTTTCCTGGTGAACTCGATGTTGGGAGCTTTGAAGTCCAATCTGTCAGTCTTCATATTATCTTTACCCTGTCTGGAGTGCTGCCAGTCTGGGTGAGTAGAGCAGAGAGTTGATCTGAGTCCTCCGTCACTGTCACCGCTGCTCCCAGATGTTTCAGTGATGCCCTCAGAGACACGTGTGTTGAGTTTCTTATAAAGCACATCTTTAAGGGTTGTGCTAGCAGCTTTGGCCTCCAGGGGGCCAGAGTCTGGGCTGCTTTTGTTTTGTCCCCTGGTCAGAAGACTTTCATCCCTGTCATCACCACACAAGGGTGATGAGTCAGAGTCACGCAGGGCATCTTGCTTCTGTAAAGACTCCCTCCTCTCTGACCATTCTTGTCTTTTCACAACCATCTTGGACTTTAGCTTTTCCTTGTCGAGCTCCTCGACAGACTCCTGCCGGCCCATCTTGCGGCTGACGGGCCTCTTTAAGCAGCCCTGCTCAACGGGTCGTACACGGGTAATTGCAGGTGGCTCGCAGGCCGTTTCATCTACACTCTGCAAGATGGTGTAATCCCGCTCCCCAAGCCTCAGTTCCTCATCCTGCACCTCCTCCTGGGTGACTTCCAGGCTGTGCTTTCTGGGACACAGATGCTTCTTATCTCCTGTGTAAGAGGGGGACAGCTTTTCCTCAGACTGGACACGTTTTAGGAGGGGTGAGCGTGGTGGCTCAGCACTTTTGGGCCGTGCAATGTGGCGCACAATTGTGGGTGGGGAATGGATCTTGACTGGGAAGGCTTGTGTTGTCTTGGAAATGGCAACAGAATGCCCACTAAGAAGGGGAGAGGGTGAGCGCTGGGGTGATGGTGGCTGGGGGGTGGGTGAAGGTGTGCGAGCCAAAGGAGAAAGGGGAATGCTACCAGCAGACTTGCGGCGGCCCTGACGAAGCCTTTGACCTGGCAGTTTGGGGCCGAGGCCGTGGAGAGTGCTTGGACGAATGTGGCCTGAGCCTGCAGGGGAATTTGGAGCGCTGGAGCTGGGAGAGCTACTCTGGGAGGAGTTGCCACCTGGAAGTTAAAAGGACAAAAAATGGACATCAGCAATTGAATGATGATATAGAGATATATATATAAAAATTCTGAATAACAATTTAAGCAATCTTCAAAATAAGTTAAAGTCGCCACCTGATTGGGTGAAATCTGGTGCGGGACGGAAAGCGGCAGTAGGGGAACGAGGGGAGAGACTGTGGGTAGGGGAGCCAGGGAGACTCTCACCAGATGACAGGGAGTGGTTCAGGGAGGAGAAACTGCGGCTTGTGTGCAGGAGAGGAGAGGGCTGCATGGCAAAGCGCCTGAAAAGGGAGCGCCGCCTGAAAACAAGCAAAGTGTGATGAAGAAAAAAGAAATCAGTCCAGACCAATTTGAAATTCCCTATTTTTAAAAGCCTTAATAAAACAAGACAACCACACAGCTATCGATAATGACTGCTAAAAAAAGGACCTAATAATATAAAATAACATTTACTTTGCAAGATGTACAAAAGCTGGAATAAAACAAAAGAAAACACATGCAACATGGAAGAAAAAAGCCTTTATATTTACACATCGTCAATGCAAGTTTCTGTGGAATATTTGTACCTTTCTGGTGTCTCCTTCTTGGGCTTTTTGGCACATCTGACCATCTTGCTCCTATAGCTGTTCCTCCTGGCTGGACCAGTTTTTATTGAAGTATTTTCAAAGGGGGTTGTGGAGATGGCTACTTTGCTACCACTCTGAAAAAGGAAGGACACTGTTGAGGACATATTTCTCCAAAATTACATTATTATTTATACACTACTGTTAAGAAACAAAACAAACAACAAAAAAAACTTAATCTGAGATTGCAGTCAGGGTTAGATCAGTGTATTACTATTATTGTATGTAGAAGATGCTTACAGAAGAAGATGAAATAAAATCATTAAACATTTGAATAGCTGCAGTTTAAAGAAACACATACATTCTCTTTTACCTTGAGCAGGAGCTCCACCACTTCAGTGTGGACAAGACCATGAACTGGTTCTCCGTTCACATGAGTAATGAGGTCTCCAGCTTTGAGTCCTGCTTTATGTGCAGGCCCACCATCTTCTACATTCTGATTAACAGACACGAGCGAAATTTATTATTATCATCATCATCATATATTTTTCTTTCCAGCTCTCTGGAAGTTTAAGGGTGATTTCATACCTGTACTTTGGTTCATTTGGTTTGACCTCAAACTTTCTTATTAGAAACAAAGAGCTGTATAAAATACTCATATGGACTAACAGGTGAATCACTGATTGATTGCCTCTCCTCTTGCATCAAACAAATGCATCTGACAAAAAAAGTAGTAAAAATAGTTACCGTGCGTTTCCCTGATTTCACTCACTTTTTATTTGGGAAGTGCTAAAATAATAAGTCTGACCCAGCTCCATTCTAAGTCCTTTACACTTTCGGATTGTTGAGGGGAAAATTCCCACCCTCACGTGGTGCATGTACATAATGAGCTTGTAACAACATAGGCTATACATCGCGTCACAAATAAGCAGATGGATTTGATGGATTTATTATAGTATAGCTTCTGAATTCATGCAAACATCACATATCTGCTACCATAAAATTGGCCTGCTTTGCTTTAACACCACAAGCGACAAATTGCACGAACTGCACGAGACCAGACTGACATTGGAAGGGGAACGAGAACCCCCCCCCACACACACATTTAATTCGGTTATCGATTTATCTACACAATGATTCAATTGATAGCTTTCACACCGGCCTAAACTACATGGGCAAATCAATAAAGTGTCAAAGCAACTTTACCATTAGCTGACTTATAATAATTTAAAACACAATATATCTTCTACAGGCACACATAGCCCTTACCCAGACCATGTGGTAGACGGTGTAGATGTCACCGTCACAAGCGTACACCCGGATTGCTCTCAGTGTGAAGCCGAACTTCTTCCCTGAGCTGTGGATGACGACAGGCTGCCGTGTGCTGGTGGTACAGAGGGAGGAGTCTCGGCTTGGAGAGGAGTCCCTAGAAGAAGGGTCTGAGGAGAGGGAGTAAGGAGATAGGGGGCTGGCCAGCGGAGACACCCCAAAGATATCTGGAAAAATAAGAGATAATCACCACCTGAGCAGATCCTTTTATTTAATCAATCAGACTTTGACTGGCCCTCGAGCCAGTAGTGAGGTGTTGCTATCCTGGTTCATTCTGCTCCTGCTGTGGGTGAAACTAATTGGATTTTCTCTCTCCCACCAGTGACGACCTCTTGCTTCTGGCCCTGCCTGCTTACTTTCCTTGTTAGCGGCTTGTACTCGGCTCCTTGCCCGCAGCCACTCTGTAAAATGGATCTCACAGCAGGTGCCATGCTAGGCCAATTTCGCACAGATCTATAGTGTGCTTTCATCTCTTTCACAATATTTGTTCAGTCTGTTGCTCTTATTGTAATTCTTGACACGTTATTGCTCTGACATACTTCATCCTTCTACGAACTGGTTCAGATCAAATTTTTGAGTCAGGGTATGCTTCTTCTTGTGCGTGAATGTGTGTTCTTCCACTTACCCCCAGGGATCATAAGGGAAAGGGCTCCAGTTGAGACAGATTTTGGGACTTTTGCCACAGCTCCGGTCTTCTCTGCAGCACTCTCAGGCCGCAGAGAAGTGATTTGAGCCCCCTGCTCTGCGGAGGTGTGACTGGTACTGTCAGGGCTCTCCACCCCCTCACCTCTGGGTGTCAATTGGTCCAGATGTTCTGAGAAACTTCCTAATTGTTACAAAAGATGAGAATGTGCAGACGTTATCATTTAGCAGTGCTTGCTGCAGGGAAAATGGATGGATTCTGATGGATAAATGAAGAAACACATTTGAATTTGACTTTTTACATGCTCTGATTAATAATAATTTTCCATTCTTAAAACAAAAGTTCATCCTTTTTGGATACATGTTTATTTACTTTCTTGCCTAGAGTTAGATTGATAAAACATTTCTGTCTCATTTCTGTCTGTCAAATATGAAGCGCAACTTAGCACAAAGACTGGAAACAGGGAGAAACGGCTTACGTGGAATTAAATATTCTTGACTTGAGAAGACACAGACATTTCATGGAGTCATATATTTAGGGTATAGATATGAGAGTGGTATCAATCTCTCCTCCAACTCTTGGCAAGCAAGTATATTTCAAACAAGTAGCATGACAAAAAAATAGTCAAAATAAAACAAGGTAATCAATATAGACATGATCATCTATACTAGTCCTCAGGTGTAACATAATAAGCTAAAGCAAGCAAGAACATTCAAAAAGTAATTTCCCAAACATCATCAAGGTTGTTCTATGACTCCGTGGTAAAATTAAATTAAAATTAAACTACTGCTAGCTATGGAGCATTTGTAAGTGTAGATTGGAAACATATATTATATAGTTGTATAATATGAAAATTGATATTTTGTACCAGAGAGCGTGGCTCCGCTGTGGGTGCTGCCTGGAGTGGTAGCGTCAGGTTCATCCTGCGGGAGCTCTCCAATGGAGAAGGAGGCCTTGCTGGGATCTCCGAGGCCCGAGGTCTCGTCTCCTTCACTCTCTGCTGAGATGGCAAACTTTGGTAACAAGTTGGGACGAGGGCCCTGATTCACACTGTCAGTGTCTGTCGAGTGGGACAGCGACGGCCTGGTGGAAAGAGAGAACAGATTCTCACTCCCTGTAACAGCCAAATGTTCTTAGAATATACTGTATATTTTAATGTTATGAACTAATAACAGAGGTCTATGAGATGTTAGAAGTTCAATAAAATAGAGATTTTCCCTATAAACTTCTAATGAAGTCTAATGATTGATGATATTTTACAAATAAAAGCTAATTTAGATAAGACAAAAGAAAAAAAAAGATTTGTGACTGACTACATATCTAACCTAACTTTATATAAAGTGGTTAAAAATAGCTCTCCCTTGGCTACAACACTGAAATGCTGCTGACATCAATACTGATGGATCAATATGAACAATCTTAAAATGTCACAGGGGCAATTTTCTGCAGAAAGAGTAATTTTATTTCATATTTTAAGTACTGATAATACCTCTGTAAGTAGGATTTGGTATGCAGGACTTTTGAAGTATTTTTACATTAATATACTGGTACTCTGACTTAAGTTAATGATGACTTCAACTTCTTCAAGTACACATCAAATTTCTTTTTGTAACCAGCAGTGGCCACATCCCAAAAGAAAAACAAAAACATTTCTGTTACCGTTTCTGTCTGTTAATAAAAAGATCTTTTCATCTTACGTTGAATATGATATCCGAATTCAAGCACTAAGCACAGAACTGAATATTTAAACATCTGCTACATACTACAATACTGTGGTTATGTGACGAGGTTTAATGAACTTGAGTTCTAATCTTGATTCAAGGATGGAGGCGAACATACATTTCAGCAAAGTCTGGCGTCCAGCTGAGAGAGTCAACAGTCAGTGGGCTCTCACTCTTCTTCTCCTCCGTCTCTCCCTTCTCTTCCAGGTGCCCACGGGACAAATCTAGGCTGCTGTAAACCTGACAACCACATAGAAACAATAATTCACTTGCAGGCTATAAATGCTAAATTCTGTTTGAAAACACGCATTGCACGGTTCAGTGTAAGATCTTGTACTGATAGCAAGAGATGGTAAGATGGTAATAATCAGTGTAACCTTACATTTACACACAAGGCTTTTTAATTTATAATGAGGTGGACACCAGAAACACTGTGCGGTGTTCATCGTGTCTTACAAACATGGAGTTTAGGTGCAGTTTAGGAAAAGCTTTAGAGTAGCTCAACACTTCCTCTGACACACCCCGCTGCTTTTAGAGACACTGTAAAGCTTTGTTTTGATGTGAGAGGGGAGCATACTGCAATGCAGCACAACAATGACTCCCAGCTTGTATGAATGTTTTGTGTATTGTGTTCCACACTACAAAAAAACCCCCAAAAAATCCCACATCTGATTTGCAAGCGGAAAATATATGCAAAGCCGAAATCTACGTTTAATACTGTAGGGGTAAAGGAGAGCGTGGGGGACACACATTACCATACAAAATACAAAGTGCTCATGTTTCCCATGAGAAAAAGAGCACGACAGATGAGGGCATTAACTCATTTACATTACTAACATCTTTGGCAGTAATGATGATGCACATGTGTTAGTCTGAGAGTAGAGACATTCGAGGGAGGAGATTAAGGACACACCTTAGAGAATCTGTGAGAACAAGAGGAGAACTGCCGCAGCTCCACATTGAAGTCTTCATCATTTGTATCTTCTTCCTCGGTCTCCAGGTGATGGTATCTCTCAGAGCGAGCTGGGAATGATGAGACGTTTAGATTCCAGGTGCTTTTTATTGCAGTTATAAACAGTTATAAACAGTTTTATTTTATACTGATGATTAAGTGGGAGAGTTTCATGCCGATCCAAGCCGTAGAAGTGCTTCAGTTAACATTATATATGGGAAAAAGGGGACTTTATTTATAGAATCAGTAGCTCCTCCCACTTTGCAACACTATACTGTGGATACTGACAAAAACTTCCAAATGACTGTGAGGCGAGATTGTAAGTTATCTGGAGTGTATCTTCTCCATGACTTCTAAGCAGCTCTACGGATGTTTATCCGCTATGGTTGCATGTAAATAAATAATAATACATTGTAAAAAAAAAACTTGACTGAAAGATTTTTGAGTAAAACTGTTTTTCTATTTTCTATAGTGTTGGATAACTCACTGTCAAAGTAGCTGGTGTCATCTTCAGACTCCAGCTGAGGAATAAACTCAGCCTTCTGCCTCAGCAGGCTGTTCCAGTCCAGGTTGTGAAAAAACTGATGCTGCTTCACTTCAGCAGCTCCACCTGCAGATGGAATAAATACAAATGAATAACTAGTTTAAATACAATTTTTAGGACAAATGTGAAAACTGCTTGTGAAGAAAACACACACATAAAACACTGGGTAGTGACAATGAATGGTTTGGTTAGACACAGGAGGTGAAGAAACGCTTACGCTATGTTTTCCTTTTCCCTAGTGGCTGCAGGCCAAACCGATAACATGACCATTAATTATGCAGTACAATATCCTGCCTGTGACCTTTCGTGGAATAGCAGGAGCATTTGTGAGTAGCAGCCTGGCGGGGACAGATGTAGATGAACAATTAGGTCCAGCTGTCCCCGGACTGAACCGGCAACATGCATCCCTCTGATTAAAAGCCTTTGTCTCAGGTCGTGGCCACTTTTACAGATCTACACACTCTTAGCGCCTGATAATGCACAGAACTAGATTCATAGACTGGCAAGTAAATAATTGCAATTGATCAAAGGGAAGAGGTGAGGAGGCCACAGGATAAACTGCTCTGCTGTTGGATGACCTCAATTTCTTCTCCGGTGACTTGGAATAATGAGTGGTGCTGATGTTGCACTAACGGTCACATGAGAATTTATGATGCCCTGCTGTGACCGTCTAGGCCTAACCGAGTTGCTGGCTGTGCCACAGTTTATATGCTCTTTGTGTTTGTACCTGTTCCCATCCTTTCCAGAGGATTCTGTCTGAGCAGCAAGGTGATGAGCTCCTGAGCGTCAGGAGGTGGCGCATCCTCTCCCTCAGGCCAGTTGATCTCGTCTGGAAACAGAACACATGCAATCACATTGATCAGAAATACACCACATACAAGAAGAAGCCCATGAAGCTCAGTTGCTTTATATTAGTAAGATGTGGTTTTGAAGTTGGAAACACCAGGTTTTTCTCAGATAATATGTAGATATGTCTCTGAGCAACATCATGTGTTACCATGTAACAGAAGGAGTAAAAAAACAAAGAGGAGATCAAAATAAGAAGATGCTATAATACCTTAAACTGCATGAATTGCAAAATGAATGGACAGTCTCCTGAGAGGGAAACATCCTGTTAGCTGAGATTAGCAAATGTCTGTATGGTGATCTGAAGTGAGTTTAAGTTAGAGTTTTGTGACTGCTACTTCTGTATTGATACTGTTTCTTATTACTGAGGCTTTGCCTGTATATATTGCAGGCATCTATTATGAGGTTCTGAACTCAAGTAACACATGTAGCATGTATCTATTGGTATATTTTGACGATAAACAGCAGGATTTTTGGACATGCTGATGTCAAAGATTTTTAATTCCAGAATATTATATTAACGTTTTCAGTAGGTAAACAGCAGGTGAGAAGATGCCACATATAAAGTTCTTTCTACACAATAATCTAACTGTTTTCACCGCATGTTTTTGATCTCTAAATGCTCAATGTGTCCACATATAAGCTACCATGTGACAATAAGTCTTCTGCCCCAACGCTGCACTTGCATCTTTGATTGTTTGTAAACGGGAAACCTGTCTATAAGAACAATAAGATTATCAGTACAAGCAAAAGGTATGTAAGAATGTTTATATTTTACTATTGAATTGGACATTTTGTCTTGTCCTGAGGACTTCTTTCACCTAATTGGGACCACAGACTGTGTATAAAAAGGATTGTGACCTACTAAGGCTGATATTTGAGACACCTTTCTCTCCCTTTTAAAATAGCTTCACCAGCAAAGTCAGACAAAACAAAGTAAGTTCCACGATGTAAGCATAATGTTGAATGAGACAATTTACATATGCTCTAGCTTTTAGTGAAAAGCCTCATGGATAAGCAATGAAAAGGGGAGCAAAAGCCTGTCTGTGCCATGCTGATTGTCTGCTCTATGCACAGTTTGTCCCCCATTTTAATCAAATTTGGGAGGGGAGCTATGAATATGTATGTGCGGCCTAAGGCCACGGTGGCATGCATTCAGTGTGTTCAGGCCTCTTTAATTAACAGTCACTCTCAGAGGCTTGGTACAGTTTGATTGAGAGCATACCAAATCAGTCATGGCGGGCCATTCATTTCCATGCCACAGACAGAGGCTGTTATCCAACAACTCCAAATAACGCAATTCATCTGAGCCACAACACCGATGAGATAAAAGATTTTCTCTGTTCTGCTGTCACCGTAAGACTATATGAGTACATCATATAATATTAAAACTTTACTTGTGGTCTAAAGTCAAGCTGAATCCACTTACTGCCATCTGTTTCGCTCCTGGTCCTCAGGGAAATCTCAGTCTTCAATATATTGAGAAATATGCACACTGACTAATTCCATGTGGTCACTATTTAAATGTTTAATTTCATATCTGAATGAGGTTTGGGAATTTCTCCTGATGTGCTCAACAGAATCCACACACCAGATGCTGTGACACTTTGCTTAAATCACCTCCAGCAGCAGAAAATTGTGTCTAGTAAAATGTTATAATAAAATAAACTGACAAATAAATAAATAAATACAGTTTATTTTCATCTTTAAATACAAACATCACATAATTTCCTGCAGCAGAGATCACAGAAAGGATATCTCATCAACTTTGTCTTTAATTATCATCTGAGAAAAAAGGGAGGTAACACTGACCACTGATGACCTGTCCAAACAGCTGCTCTGGTGTGTCTCCAAAAAAAGGCACACAGCCAACTAGGAACTCGTAGAGGATGATGCCCATAGCCCACCAGTCCACCGGCTTCCCATATCCTTGTCTTAGGATCACCTCTGGTGCAATATACTCTGGGGTTCCACATACCTGTACAGAAAAAAACAAACAATAAATATTCTAAACATGATGTTGTCCAAACTGTCCATTACTATATTTAAATAAATAAGACTCACCTGCTTATCAGAGAACTCCCTGGCATCTTTCTCTATATGTCCCTCATACAGGTTAGTGGTCATGTTCATCAGCCCAACTTTGGACAACCCAAAATCTGTCAGCTTTATGTGTCCCATTGATGTAACCAGCAAACTGTGAGGAAGACGGAAGCAATTGTAAAATTACAATAAATTGTGATAACAAAAACACAGATTTTTGTAACAGTCAGCAAACGTCTGGGTCAGGGATTCTTAACCTTTCTGACAGTCCGACCCCTTTTTGAGGTTGAAAATATTTCGCAATGCATCACAATGTAAAAAGTAAAGTACACAATTAAAACTAGTAAAACTACTGCATTCAGCATTTCAAGTACAAGTTAACACACATTAAGGTAAATTTACTTAAAAGTACCAAAAGTAAAATAACTGATATGCTATATTATTACTGACAGATCAACATAAAACAACGTCTGAAGGAAATTTATCCTGCAATATATATATATATTTTATATATATCTCAACGGGGCTATCCTTTAATGAATTCCAACTCTAATTAAAATGCTTCATTATGTTCACCAGGTAGCTGCTAACTTTGTCTGTCTGCCCTTTGTTGTTGAGCAGCTAGCGTGTAGTGAAGACACTACAGTAGAGCTGTAGGGAACTGCAGAGTTGGGTGATAATTATCTGATGGTGCATTACTATGAGCTGTCATTGTTAATATAAAAATACTGATTATGGCCTCTTTAACATTTGTGAAGTCTCACTTGTCTGGTTTGAGGTCCCTGTGGACGATGCCATAATTGTGGAGATACTCCAGAGCCAGTACAGTCTCTGCAAAGTACATCCTGGCCATATCCACAGGCAGGGGCCCCATGTTCTTCAAAAGGGTAGCACAGTCTCCACCTGTTAAGATCAATGAAGTGATGGTTACAGATGTGCTTGAGATAGCACACAGGAGACATTGTTCGCAGCACTATGCACTAAAAAAATCTAGCTGCTGACCTTCGACATATTCCATGACCATGCACAGGTGCCGCCGTGTCTCAAAGGAGCAATACATAGAGACCACAAAAGGGTTCTCAGCAAAGGTAAGGATGTCTCTCTCCACAAAGGCCTGTTGTATCTGATTCCTCAAAATCAGGTTCTGCTTGTTGATCTTTTTCATGGCAAACCGCTGCTTCGTTTCCTTGTGCCGAACCAGATAAACAGCTCTGTGGAATAAACAGTTTAGAGTCAGCTGGGGAAAGATCTGATCCACTCTTAAGAACAATCAAATCAAATTTGGGGTTGATCATTAAATCTTTTTAATTGTCAACTGTTTGTGTAAAGCGGTAAAAGCAAGAAATATGCAAAGTAAAGTGAAAACAGGAAACGTTAAAGTCAGTTCTAAATTAAATTGTGAATGGTTTCCTTGTTGGGTCTGTAAGAAAGCATCTATGATCAGAGATTATATAACCTGGCATAGAATAAGATGTCCTTACCCATAGGCACCATTGCTGATGAGTTTTGTCATCTCAAAGTCTAATTCACAGGGTTTACGCCGGGACCGCAAGGATGTGCTGAGGCTCTGAGACTGAGGGAAAGAAGAGAGAGACAAATAATAAAACAAATCAAAAAGATAAAATCTGTACTCTGCTGTTACACCTGCGGTAAAGATTGAGTAAATCAATACAATAATCAATTTCTGTGCTTACAGAGTCATCTGTTTCTGGGGTTTCTGCAATCCCACTGTCACAGCTGGTCAGCTGAGCAATTTCTACAGAGAAAACAGATGCAATTAAAAAAAATAAGAAGCAGAGATGCAGCAGTTTAAAAGTAAAAAATATCTTTTAGTTTTTTTGATAAATCTACAACTTCATGTGAAGCCCATGAACATGTTCTGCAGTGCAGCTTTGAAACAAAGGTAACCTAAATGCTGAGAAATCAGGTCCTATAAACAAATAAAAAACAGCAGACTGTAGCCTTTATTCACCTATTAGGTTTGAGGTGCTGACTCCAAGATAATCTGAATCGAGACTAAATGGGGCGGAAATCAAATTTGGCAACACAAACACATGTCTAACACCCATTTTGAAAATCACCACTCCAGAACAATTGCTCATTATAAAGCACCTTGCATCTTTTACAGTTCTTCTGCGAGTGTGCATTTGTGTGCAACCATGCCCAAGTCCATGTGTGATTTCACAGGGGGGTGTTTGCCTTGTCCCTAGAGAGCCTGTAAACACATTTTCACTGCTATTTAGCATCTGTCCTCCCTTGTAGGTTTGCTTCAGGCACACAAAGCACTGGGCAAATGAAACACAGGAGACACTCGGGGGAAATGAAGGGAGAGATTGGCTGATGGGCCAGCCTGCCTGTATCTGTATAAGGTCTGCAGGGAGGCCATTCCTTTCTAATTAGTCATAATGAATGTTGTTTGTTACTGAATCTGGAGAGACAGGGTCATTAGAAAGACAGTCTGTTCAAGAGGGGACATTAGTCAAGAGTGTCTTTGTTAGGCCCTTCCATGGCTAAATTCTTTCAAATTCTTTCTCCTTTACAGCCTAAGCACAACATTCAATTTGGTCATATTTAGCACATCCCAACATAATACTGAAGAAGCAAGAACTGTAATACACTTCTGGAATTATAGAAGATAAGATACTTCTTTTTCCTAAAGACAAAGAAATTAGATAACCATTATTTGTTGCCCCAGCAATGATGAAAAACACAAAGAACACTGAAACGCATTAAAAGTGGAATAACTTTTCTCCATATTATATCATTAATGTAATTTCATTCCGTTATCCTATTTGCTAAAGAGTGCTAGCCGTTATAAACAGAGTTGTTTGTATTGTGTTATCACTGTTGATGAGTCTTTCCTGTACCTTCCAGAGGATCTCTTGTGAGTCCCAGCTGACTGATGATGTAACGAGGGATGTCCGTTTTGATACCCTGACCCTCTTTAGCGTGTCCTTCAGCGGCCTCCAAAAGGTGGTAAAATTCCTCTGGGTCAAACTCCTGGAGACACAGCAGAAGACACATTTTAGTGCATGAACAATGTTTAAGAAGACAATGCACATTTTTATGGATATTATTATTAAGATCACATTTATACACTTCCTCTTTAAAAGCAGCCACAAAATGTACAACTTTTTCTTCTATTTCTATTGAAACATGCAATGACAGATTTTTTGGGCCACTTGTGGGCAGCAGAGTTGTTAACATCTAAGTTGATAGAGCAGCAGACCACAATTCATCCGGCCCAGGCACCACAGCGGCTGCGGTGATCGCTCAGAGGAGAGGAAAGACAGCCAGGAGAAGAGCCATGCTGGCCCAGCTTGGACTTAATTCTGCTCCTAAAGAGCTACTCTGGACAAAATGGGACTGATATTGACTAAGCAACGGAATTCAGAGACCGTTGTGCCCACATCGTTACAGAGACCTGCCCCAGCATCAACATCGGGATCAACATGTGGTCCATGTTCCAAGCTGCCAGCACAAGACTGTTTAACATCGATGATGCTTGGTACACAAACGCAGTCAAGATTAACTCTGTTTCCCAAATGTTTATTGTGAAGATGAAACTTTCATACTTTCATCTGGTCGCTGCTGTTTACGTTCACCCCATGCAAATTCAAAAAATGCACTTCAATCTTCAGGGTGTATACAGGTCTGTACATATGTATATAAATAACTGTATTGTTTTATTTTATGTTATACGTTACCATATTTTGATATAGGCCTACACTTAATTATATGTTGTGTTGTGTAGCACGAAGGAACTACAAATTTTGTTTCGTTATGCAGCCTTGTGCTGTATAATGACTAATAAACAACCTTGTACCTTGTAATATGGCGAACATGTTAGCAAACAGTCTATTTACACATCCAGCAGTTACAGAGCAACATTAGCATTCATTTGGAGTCCTGTTTCTGGTCATTGTCTACCATTCATCTTCTTTGAGCTCTGTTTTTGTTCTCTATCAACTCTTTTTATGTGTTAAACGCTTGTTTCTAACTTGTCTGTTGTTTGGTGCTGAGCAGGTAGTGTACAGTGTGTTTTTAGAGCCAAAAACAAAGTAGATGAGTGCCGTGAGACTGACCAAAAACAAAGTTGAGGTCAGACACCTAAACAATGAGCTGAAACTCACTATCAAGTCCCATAAAGCCGAGGCGAGCTTCAGATTCTGGCGATAATTGTCTGTACATTCAACACTATGAGTGGCCCATTTCACATTGTCTCATTGTTTTCACACTGTCATTTGATATATTGTCATTATAAAAAGGTTGACAATAGCCACTTTAACCTTGTGATACATGATGAGATACACTCCAGGGCAAGTGCTTATAATGAACCACTTTGCACCAACAATTAACTATCCTATTGAGTAACAGTCTCTAGAAGATGGGACTTATATTCAAAAATCAAATGCAAAAGATGTGTAGCACACTAATAAGGGTATATATACAGTATATTTTAGATTAGTGATACATGAAACATACCAGACATTCCAGCAGTCGAGCAGGTCGTGCTATGATTATGAGGATCTTCTTCACGAGCTCTCTGATGAAGTTCACTCCTCGCTCTCTGATCTCTCTGTGGACTACACAACAGCCAACCAGAAAAGAAACAAGATCTCGGTTAAATATCAGATCTTCCCATAAAAAAATACCTGGTGATCTTTGAAAAACCTAGGTCTTTTAACAACACTTACTGTTCTGAAAGTATTTGTGGAATCCTTTAAGACTCTTGTAATTATCTGGATCAAAAGATTTAGTCCGCTGCACGACAACAAAGATTTTAACCAGTTTCCCAAGTTGTACCTCTTTTTTTCTTATCCATACAAAGCTATCTTAAGGTTAGTTAAGCTGGTATATATTGATATTTCTTTCACAATATACAAAAACACATTCTTAATTTGCTTGTGTAATCCAAAAACAGCAAGGACAATCCAGCTAACTGGATTAGGGAATACAGTAACTTGTAACTTGAGAAATATGTTCTTGTAAAGTTATTGTACAACAGAATAAATATTTTTTCATCCGTTAGAAAAGTAGTTTTTACAGATTCTGGAAATACCTTCAGGTCAGAGGTGAGTGTTTTAAATTCTAGATATAAACCTTCTAGGTTTTTCAAAGGTCGCTGGATAATGATTTTTCGAAAATCAGATGCTTAGAACTGAAATGTAATGTAACACATGAGAAGCACCAAATGGGGCCAGGTCCTCCTGAGGACAACATTTTTATTTTATAGTCTTTCTCTATGATTTCTGAAGATGCGCTCACCTCCTGAACAAGCCTCTCCAGCTTGTCAGTGAGCTCGCAGAAGTAGCTGGAGGTGATGAGTCCTAGCCGGCTCTTCTCCAGACAGTCACGGGCCAGTTCAATTATCTGGTGGTGGGCAAAGCCGAGCACACCATCTGCCAAAGGGAGGACGCACTCTGGAGAGTTGCTGCGGATGATCTCCTGAATCCTCTCCTCCATCTGAGCTGTGGCCTGCAGTAAGAAGAGAAGCTGTCAGTTTGGTAATGCATAACATAATTAATGGCCAGACATGACTGTCGCAAACTTACTGTGTACCCTTACCTTAGGAAACCGCTCCTTGTAGACGTGATTCATCATAATAATCTCATGATCGTAACAAGATGGAGATCTTCCGGGGCTGAAAAATAAAGTGGATTAAAATCAGTTCCTTAGTGGCATCAATTTTAACACGAAGAGATTATGTTCATTTCTTGAGGTAAACAAATACCTGAGACTGCGTGAGCGGGGTCGCATCGCCGCTGCTCTGCGGCATTCATCCCCGGAGATACTCTCAGTGCAGAAGTGCTTGGAGAGGAAGTGCAGTTCGTCAGGTGTGGGCTGGAAGGGCAGCTGGTGCAGCTTCTCCTGTGATGAACAGGATGACTGGAAATGAAACACATATATATTCAACATGAAAAAAAAAAGGCGGCAAATTCTTTGTGTGGATAAAAAAAAAAACATAATAGGCAATCCTGTGTTTTGGTAGTTTCCCTCAGCATAAAAACAGGCGGTATGAGGAAAACAGCTAGCCTAGCACTGCATTTATACCCTCAGGTGGAGAAGGGCTTGTTTTGGCAAAAAACTTTGCACCTGCAGCCATAGCTGCCCTGAACAAGGTGTCTCGATGAAGACAGCAGGAGCCTTGCTTTCACCTGTCTTGTCAGTTGTTGTTGTTTACGATGTACATTTGTTGGGAATAATATTTGAGGAGAAAAATGTTGTATCTTAAGTGGTCATGTAGATTGCTATGAAAATGTTCCCTCTAGAACATTAAAGTCTAAAGTCTGTATTTCAACTGTTACACTAAACTGAAAACTATAAGCCTGGCCTTTACCTCAAAACAAAACCGTTACTGTTTCTAATATGACTCGACTCGTGACTGATGTTTCACCAGAGGTCATGCAAGGACACGCTTCCTTCGCAAAATGGTGTGAATAGCAGGAAATGCACTAGATCACAAACAAAATAAAATTGATACAGGCAATTTTCAATCCCCTGACACTTGCACTTCCTGTAAATGTTAGTGTGTGTGTTTACATGTACTGTCAGCTTCCTTCTTTTGCTTCTCAAACAGAGTGTTTGTTCACAAAGAATTGTTGTCACTACTGTGAGCCAGACTCATGAGCAAACAGAGCTACCATGACAAATGCTGAATTCCACGTTGAAGTTATTTTCACTTCAATTTGTTCTTCATGGTAATGGTTTTGTTCTTCATGGTTTTTATTTTGCCAACTTTCTAACATGTTTTCCATCATGTTTTAGCATTAAGTATTTGAGTTTAATTAGGGCAGAATGGAAGTGCAAGAGCTGTGGTTTTAATTACAACTTACTTATGTCTTAACAACCTGCAGCAAGTTAAAGTTAAAAGCCAGTAATAGTGAGGACTTTTGATGAATTTACTCAGCCGTGTTGAGAGAGTTGACCTAAATAATGAAAAAGAAATCTTGGCTGTTGTCTGGTTAATATGCTCACTCTCTGCATGCCAGTGTCTGTACATTTTAGTTTTGTGAAAGAACAAACTCCTCTAGCTAGAAAGTAGCACGGCAGATGTTTGATAAAAGACAAACAGCTGGTGAACAGAGCTGCCAGATTCTTTTAAGCTTATCACCTAAAAGCTCTGAATTGAGAGCTCCAGGATTCGGGGCTGTGAGACAGTGTTTCCCATCAATCTTTTGAATGTTGTAATTATATCTGAATATTACTGAGTCATTTCAGGAATACAACTAATCTTTGTGAGCTAAATTGATCAATCAGTATAAGAAACTATGCGGTTCAAAAAAACAAAAAAAAACAAATAAAAAGGAACCCTGGGAGGATGTCGACAACAAACAAGCAACAGCAATATTTTGTAAACACATGCTAACTTTTGGTAGATTCATCTCGTGTAATACTATATAAATCACAAAAAAACAGTCAGTGCACTTCAAATCTTTTTTTCCCCCACATTCATTGTGTTTAGCTGAATTGGATTTTGTTGACCTGTTACATTTCTTGATGGCAGTTGCGTCGGACTGGGTGAGTGGTGGATGCTTACAGAGACAGTGGAGCTGGGAGTGTTGGTTCCATATCCAGAGGAGGGAAGGGAGGCCAACGACCAGCGGCGACCATCAGTCCTGTCACACAACAGCAAAGGCAAACAGAGTATTGTCACACTTCAAAGTGAAACACTGAATCCACAAAAGAACAATGGAACATTTCCAGGTCTTTAAAATGCCAGTCAGGGGGAAGAATATGACTTTGTTCAAAGACAAATTTGCAAAATTGTCTTTAGAAACATGAAATATGGTAATTTCCATGTTTGTATTGAAAACATGAAAACAATTAAGTCCTACAATCCTAATGAGCACATGGTTATAGATTAATAGTGACCATGTGGTATTGTATTAAATTACACCAGACAAAACAGTCAAGTTAAATGAACTAGAAGATAAAGCAAGTGAATGTAGGACTGAAACTAGATGCCAGGATGATGGAAAGAAAACTTTAGAGCTATGAAAATACAAAAAAAGGTGGGTGTGAACTATAAAGTGTACTCTGGACAAATGTGGGGTTGTGAAAGTTCAAGGGCAAATGGAAGCCTAACATGAAGTTACCTGTCTGCTCTGTGGCAATGACTGTGGATTATAATAAAAAAAAATACATAATTACATGATATCATGAAATGGTCTAAAATAAATACATTATTGATGCTGCTTGTGAAAAGATAAATAGACTCTGAATATTCAGACTTGTGCTGGCAGAGAATATATGAACGTCTTTCCTGGCTGACACTGTTGAATGGCTTTAACCCAGAGCACAGCATCCTCATACAAGTCACCCTCTGGTCTTTACTGGCTGATTTGTTAAGCTGCAAATCAAGTAAAGATGCCTGATTGTGTATACCTTCGTGCAAAGGAGAAATGAGCAGAGGCACTAGGAGAGAAATTTCTTGGACTGTCTTGTGGGCTTGTTCCTGCAAAATAAAACAAACAAATGGAGATAAAGGAAAACAAACAACCCGCAAGCACATAAATTAAATAAGACTGGATTCCAATATCAATTTGCAGACAAAACAAAGACCGACACACTGCAATAAACCACTAATGAGTCAACGTCACAGAGATGTTTGACAGAGTATGTTTTAAACATCACGTTGATATATAAACACAACAGATAATAATGTCTGTTATTTTTAATTTCTTGAAACACAAATCTTCCTTAAATCATAAAAACTCATGTTCAAAAATGTTCATTCTCTGTTCAGGTGATGGGGAGTTGCAGCCAATCCAGAAAGTTAAATGAAAACCATCCAAGACTGCAAATAATGATTAGTTTCATTATTTAGTAATCTGCAGATCATTTTGATTAATTAATCTTGATTAATCATTTGGTAAATAAAATGTCAGAAAATAGTGAAAAATGCAATTTCCTACAGCCCCAGATGACGTCATCAAACTGCTTGTTTTGCCAAACCAACAGCTCCAAACCCAACGGTACTCAGTTTCCTATTACATGGAACAAAGACTTGAGGCAAATCCTCACAATTTAGAGCCTGGAACACGGGAACGTTTGGCTGTTTTGCTTGAAAAATGAACAATAAATAATCTCTGAACTCTCAATGGACTAATCGACTAAACTTTTTAGCAATAAAACCAACAGCAAGACATTAAACTATATAGTTATAGTTACCACAAGAGACTTTTCGTTTGTATAGATTTGTGCAACCCACGACAACACTTTGAAAGCACCCAGCTACAGAGGATTAATACACCTCATCTGGACCTAAAACTCTCTTGAAGACCTCAAGGATGTGATGCAAACCATCAGTATACATAGGTTTAATGAACAGCTGCTGTTTTTTTGATATTTCGCAGTAATCTAAAGTACAGTGTGTTGGTCTTGTAAGAGTTAGAAAAAGGTCAGCAACCGGCAAACTAAATACACCCACAGCACTTTCCAAAGCATCATTTTCATCAACAGCATATTCACTGAATGCACATTGGGGTGGACATTTTTCAGCACACAAAACACCCAGTTTGGCTTAATGTCAAATGTCATCTCTATCCTCCTACCTTTTATCCTGCCTTCCGCTTGCCAGTAATAGTAAAACAGTATACTTTGACCAATTCGTTTTTAAAAGCCTCTAGGTTTTCACACAGGATGCACAGATCAAACGTGTCAAATGTGATGCTTCGTGGCAGCGTACAGTGTACTTAAATACTTTCTTCTCACTGATCTTAAATGGTTAAATCTCAGAGAGATGGTGGTTTGCTATGCAAATTTGATAGTTGTAAATCTAGAAAAGCTTGACAGGCACATAACGTGATTGACTGCCTTTATGTTAGGATAAATACTCAAGTGCTGAGGAAAAAAAGGCAGGGTGTTTTATTTCTAAAATGTAGTTCAGCTCCACTTCAGTCTATGTAAAATGCACATCACCCACATAGTTTCTGCACACTTCACAGGTTCATATACAACATCAGACACACAACTAAGAGACTTCACATGTAAAAATACACACAGAAAACAGGCAGAATCCTAAACAAACAGGTAAGAATGCTAATGTAACAAAATGACTTAGTTTAGGAAACTGAAAAATTTATCAACAGAACTGAGGTAAATAGTTATCAAAGTAGAAATCAGATGAATGCGATTCCAGTCAGTGATTCCAGGAGGGGCCGCAGCGTAGAGGAAAAAACGTGGGTTTTAAGCCTAAATTTGGAAATCTCAACAGAGCCTGCTTCCCAAATTTGCTTTGGGAGTTCATTCCATAAGGAGTGGAGATCAATCAGCAAAGGCTCCCCCAGTAAACTGTAAAATAATCATCATTAAGAGGACATAAAGAACGTGATGGGAGCATACAGAGTACTAAGCCAACAAGAAAATAACTGAAATTAGAACTTAATTAAAAAGAAAATAATGTATAATGTGACTATTACCATATATCATAGCCACACGATGTCCTCTCATAAACAAGCAGGACTCACTCTGTTAACCTACATCAGTAACATCTATATACTGTATGTAGCTTTGGGCCACTGAGAGATATATATCTATAAAAAACAAACCATTAATCAGACATAATTACATCCCTCACTAATGGAGGGATCTTCGATGCCCCCACCTAATGTGATGACAAAGACAGGCCTTTTCAATACTGGGGGAAAATGATAGAGCCACTGAATCATGTTAGTGATGCATGTCTCCTATGTAGTTACACTGCAATCTTAATCGCAGCCAGTTAAAGATGATAACTTCTTCCTTTGGGAGTTAGACTGCACCTGAAGAGACAGATTATCTACCGACTGTTAGGGACAATGTCTGACAGGAAAAACAGGAAATATGATTCATGATAAATGTTGTTTATAAAATTATTCATCATTATGAACAAAAGTTTGATCTGCTACAATACATCTGCACAGCCAAGATCAGAAAACAGAAGAAAAACATCAAATGTAAAAAAGATTGTGCGTCACAACTGTAGACGTCAGCGTAATCAGTTATATGACTGCTGTAAATGGAAGTGAAAAGATGTTTTTTCTTACCTTTGGTACCAATATTACGACTAAGCCACAGTGTTAGGTCGTCCCGGAGCAGAACACATTCATTAGCAACAACATTGTGGCTTTGCGATTCCATCTTAAAGACTGGGCCCCTTCGTTAGGTTGAAATACAGACCTAACACTGTAATTTGCGGCTCTGCTTTTGCTGACCAATGCCAGGAAATAAAACGCCCTATGGTAAATGAGCACCCCCCCCCCCTGCTCCTGTGCATTTCCTCTATGCAAGCCGCCACTTCCTCACAGAGTACAATCACTGCCCTTCATCTTACCACTGTACAGTTCAATTCTCACCAAAGCACTACAGTACTGGCCTGACAAAGATTGCAATTGAAAGGATAATAAACATTTAACAACTACTCTTTAGTGCTTTACCATCTTCTCGTTGCTTTCTGTGCAAGACAAGCATCTGAATCCAATGTTGTAAGGGTTAATCAACAACATTCAATGTGAACACTGACTGTACTTTTGTTACTTCATAAAGTTAAAATCATATGAGGGTGCCACTTGGTTTAAAGCTATGCAGAGGGAAACAGAGGATTGCACGTTTACTAGCAAAGGCTTTTTCCTCTATTGTTTTCCCAAACTACTTTATCTTGCACTACACAATGGACAGCATTCCTGTAAAAGAACCCTGTGAATTAATGGCTCCTCCTCTGAGCACCAATGGCTTGTGTTGCCAACAATGGGGCTAGGACACGCTGCACACACACAGGAATAGACATGCATATACATATACTGCACATAGACTTACCTGTGAGAGATGAGAGAGGGGAGTGAGGTCGCTGTAAACCTGAAGACTGACCGCTTCCTATCAGGCTTTTTCTGTTGCTCGTTCTGCAGCTGTAAAATCACAAATTCAAATCTTAGGCAGGACACTGGACAAGGAACAGACAAATCTCCTAACAAACTCAACTCATATGCCTATTTTATTATCATCATCAATTATCATCATTATTATAATAATGATGTTTACAATACATGCTCCTCTTTGTAGTATTTGTATTTTGATTTGTACTTCGTAAGTTTTGCTGATCTTGTCTTTAGTTTGGAGTGATTCAGTGTATTGGTCAGTCACTCTCAGGTATTGTTCTTGTAAAATGTAAATGCTCCGTACTTGTATAGCGCCTTTCTAGTCTTTTTACACTACATCTGCATTCACCATTCACACACATTCATACACTGAGCCTAAGCGCTCAAAACAGAAACTAACATTCACACATATTCATACACTGGCGGAATAACCGCCAGGGGCAATTTGGGATTCAGTATTGTGCCCAAGGACACTTCTACATGCAGCCTGGGGGAGCCGGGATTGAACTGCCAACCTTCCAATTAACGGCCAACCCGCTCTACCTCCTGAGCCACAGCCACCCCTTGTCAAATGTAATGGAAAAAAGCACGCCCACGACATTTACTGTAGAAACCTACAATAGAGTAATGCAGAGGCTTAGAAGCAGGAAACCTTTTCTATAACAATGTGAACTGATCCAGCAATGTTAATGGAACATCAATGTATGTGAAATTTAACCACTATTGAATACTTAATGTTGAAATTTAGTGCCACTGAATTTATAGCACTAAAATATTTTACTTTGAAAATCATCGATCAGATTGAGGTGACATGTATTTCTGTCCTAATACTCCATCACAGAGGTTTTCAAAGGGGGAGGCGGGCCTTCAAACTGTTTTTGGGGAGGCTCAGTAAAAAATTTTAGTTATCAAAAGGAGATCACGTAGAATATCCTAAATGTGTGTGATTTGGTTAAAGAGAGAGTTCAAAGAAAATATAGTTTAGGGCATGTTTACAGTCCTGGAGTCACCAGTAACAATTGGTGCACACAGAGCCATACAAACAGGAGACAGAACATCTTGGTTCAGTCACCAAAAAAGCCAGTTCTGTGTGCAGCATTCACAATGCTTTTATGTTTGCTCATATTAATACTAGGCTGTGACTCACAAGGAGCCACTGTGATCAACAACATGTGACTAATAACTGTAGTCCACTTTTCAACCTTGAGAAAAAAAAATGAACTACTTCAACATAAAAGCAGCTTCAGTGTTTAATGCTCCAATTAGTCTTGGGTTTAAACTCAAATTAGAGGCTGTCAGTGGAAACACATAATGCCTGAAGAACATGAATTCACTTCAAGGTCAGAGACTCAATGACATCCTGTTACATAACCTCCTCCATGACCTGAACCATTTCCAACTGATTTTTTAAGATGTTATTCAATAATACTTTCAATCCTTTGCATAATACAAACACCACAAAAAAATAAGCTAGTTAAGGCTTTGCTCCTGGATTTTTTCAGCTTCTGATGTCAATGACCATAGTACCATACCATAGTGTACTTATTACCAAGCTTAAATGTTATGGTTGCATATGTTTATGTCTTTTTATGCTTTATGTAAAGCACTCTGAGTTGCCTTTGTGTATGAAATGTGCTATCAAAATAAACTTGCCTTGCCTCAAGTCGAAGGGTCCACTTTTATTTGAAATTTTTAAAAATGATTTGCCATGTTGTCAACAATGTCAATGTAGTTATGTCTGTGGATGACTCGACTTAGTTTTCTGCTCCAACATCAGTGGAGCAGAATAAGAGATGATCTTAATATTAAAACTAAATTTAAGGTATCTGGTAATAGGAATATTCTTGCCATGAAGGCAAAGTGATAAATTAGGTAATTTACATATGTTCCATCTTCTGCCTGGAGTACTGCCCAGTCATTCAGTCAAGTGCCACTGAAAAACATCTAAAAACCAAATTGTTCTTGCCATGCTTATGTGTGCGAGAGGCATAAACAATTATCACAGCTAACTGTGTGAGGGCAAAATTTTTGTCATACATGTCAAGTGAGTACTGGTCATCTTAAGGTGCCGTGTCCAAGAACAAATTGTATGATTACGTTCTTTATAGAGCTTCTTCTGTCTGAATACACTTCCCACCAATATCAAACACATGCTGTTTTATAACCATTGACTGTTTTTAATTTCTTTTTGTGGATATAGTTTTCTTATAAGCTTGTCTATTTTTTCATATGTAGAGTTATTTCACTTATTTTTTACTCTTCTTGTTTTGTTGGTGCGGTGTGATTTTAAATTTTTGCTTGTTTTATATTGTGTTTGGTGATGCAAATAAAGAATGAAGAAGCTAAGAGCTAAAAAACATTTTATGAAAAGCAGGTGCTGCATGGCTACAGGATAAGGTACTTTATACCAGTGGTAGAGAAAAAGAACAACCATTCGTGTAGGAGAAAGAGAGAAAGAGAGAAAGAGAGAAAGAGACAGGGAGAAAGCATGTCACAGCTCCCGCATTGATCGCGCAGAACGATCAAATGCACATGCGCTTCTGCAATGATGCAGAAATGGTGAGCAAGCGATCTTTCATCGCTTTGTTAACACTGCTGAAGAGCAGCTTGTACAGGTGCTACTGCAGAGCCCTCAGAGCTTCAATGTCACAACAGCGCAATATTGATGAGCTAGGCAACTTTCTTTCTTTTTTTTTTTTTGATGATCACGTGCAAAAATCTCCTTCCTATGCTCCAAAAGAATGTGAACACACTAAAGCCTAGATTTACTAAAGGCTGTAACAATTACAATATTGAACATAACAAAATGATCTGATAGATACATTTGCTGCACCAATCAAGTGTTATCTTGTTTGTTTTTCACATCCCAGAAATTGTTGCATTTATAGGCTTGGCAGTGAGGTGATCCTATGTGCCACAGATCTTTCAATCTCATGCTCACAAAATTGTATGCAAAAATGAATGTTACTTCATGAAATCGTTTTGTGCCTGTAGATTCAATATTTAAATCTACCCAATTTATTCTATGTGCAGTGTTAGCTCCACCACTTCCAGTTTTTTCAAGTGTAAAAGAGTGACACACAAGAACCCAGTGTTTTTTATGCTCATGTTAGGGTCGATTAACCACACATCAATTTAATAATGCTTAAAGTTTTGGACATTAAAGAAAGTTTGACGAGTTAAGAGACTTTGGTGAATCCAACTTAAAACACTTGTAAGAACCCAAAAAGAAAGAAAGATTTAGGATAGGAATACAAAATGTTCTTGCTTCAGGCCTGACAACAGAAATACTGCGTGTAGTGAAGCTGCTTGTATTTCTCTGCAGGCTTGTTGCCTTCTCATTGTAACATGAAAATCCAAATTCATCTCCCTAAATCAGAAGGGAAACCCTATTTCGACTGAAATCCCATTCATCTGTGTTTACTCGAAAGGTTTCTGGGGTTAACCCCCTGTGATCAAGAGTGTGGACACATGCCATGAATCATTTACCATGTTGAGGGTCGGGGGGCGAGAATATTATCTGGTACACAGGTGCTCAGTCAAAGAGGATCAGATTTAACGAGATCTATTTATACCCTCTCGCTGTGGATTAAGCCAAGAGAATGCCACAATGCTGCCCAATCAGCCCTCTCATTGCTTCACCCTCTCACTACCCACATCCCAGTGTTTCTGCTATTATAACCCCTATTACCTGAGTGCGACACATGGACACATTAAAATGACTGCATCTGGATTACTTTCCAAAACTGCCGCCACAGGTTATGATGGCACACAGGCCATCTTTATCACATTTGATGCTAAGCAGAGCTTTGGTAGAAGCACCTCTGTGGCCAAAAAGGCTGAGTGAGGGGGAAAAAACGTGTCGTCACAGTGAAGCTATAAAGGAGGGATAAAGAAGCCCTGGGCGAAGATGATAGGGAGAAAGTAGGCCAGTGAGTGTTGTATGCTGTATTGCAGATGTGTGAGATTCCTGGAACGCATCCATATGAGGTTTACCAGTCTCGGTTATATGCAAAACCCTCAAGGTCAACAAACCATTGTTACATTAAACACAAAATCTCCACAAACAAAGCCACAGATCTCTTTTTCAACCACTAACAATACTCTAAATATGTGTTTATCAAAGTTAGAGATACTTTACATATCACAGTTACACTATTTTGTATTGATTATATTTTATATTAAGTTTACATTTATTTCATTTATTTCTAAATTGACCTACATTACTGTAACTCTTCAATAAAGTAATCTGAAGCCGTCAAAAACAATTTATTAGGTTTCAGCTTGCTCACTTATTTTGGGTAACCGGAAGAGGCAAAAATAGATAAAAAGGCTTTGATTTACAACCCTCTGAATCCAGATAAACCCTGACCCATCTCAACAAAAAAGCCATGATTAATCTTTTTTACTTCTGTGAGTTTTGCTCCCTTGTCAGAGCTGTCAAGTGAGCTGACAAAGCGCAATGCCACATAAATTGCTGCTCCTCTCTGACAAACCCAAATTCAAAGTCAGACATATGACACATACTGTTCTATTTATAGTATTTAAAAACGTGCTGCTTGGATAAAAAGCAATGCAGCCACTGAAGACACTGTCATTTTATATATCTGAAGATGTACATTACTGCATATTTCTTCAGAAAGTCAGCTTTGACAATGCTTATATATTTTCACATACAGTGCATTACATGTTTAACTTAGTTCCTAATAGTAATATGGTCAATAATTGCAGCAAAGTCTCTTTCTATTTTGACTTCTAGAATACACATGTGTCATCTGACTTGTTTAGGATGACAGATGTCAAATATCATCAGTTTATATTAAAATATTCTGACCATAACTAAAAACAAGACAAAAAAAGAAATTATTGTAATGAACTGGGCAAGTGTTCTCTATTCAAATCACCTAAAAGAGTAAACAGCCATTCTCAGCTGAGTTTAGGGAATCAATGGTCATTTTTCCATCCATTTTTCCAGGCAACTTTCAATCTTTATATCAGCATATAAATCAATTCAAATCAATTATCAAGAA